ATTTATTTATATATGTACACAATTACTTATAACTAAATGCGAACATATAGTTGAACATATATGAAATTAATATAGACTATATACATATATATATAATGGGTCTAGATTTCATACTAGATTTATTTACAACTTAAATAAAAAATACAAAAATATAGTTCAAATAATAAATATTTTAATGCGACTAGAAGAGGATCTCTCGGGAATTGTGTCAGTCTGAACGCCATCTTAGCATCAAACTGCTGCAGAACAACTGGAATCAGCTGTCATCGTCTCGTACGATTGACCTACAGAACTATTCATTTCTCACAACTTTACACAAAATGAAGGTCATCACAATTATAAGATGCTGAAGGACTAAAAGTCAAAATTTCTCACAAAACTCTGAGATGTGTTCTCCTTAAGGCCGGAGTACAGTTTCAACTTCATCAGCTTCTCGAAGAATGCCTAATACGAATTGGACTAACGAAAATCTAGAAAACTTACTCATTATGCATCAATTAATGAGGGGGCGATTACAGGTTTGCCTATTTGATATTATTCTAATAAATTTAATATGAAGGCAGCAGGACGAAAGAAATTTCTCTGATATAATCAAGTCAACTCATATCATTGTAGGAAAATTCGCCATCACTCCTTCAACACGTGGCCTAGACGGACTGCAGTTATTATTTAAGACCTGCTGAACCGATATTTATCTGTTTTTCATTTTTTTATCGTCAATTAGCTTTTATCTAGTGTATGTATATCAGCAAAACCTATCAATAATGCACCTATTTTAATATTTTTAATTATTAATTTCCTCTTCGCTTTGTCGTTGCCTGAACAAAAGATTAATTGCTAATCAGAACGTAAAAGTCAAGGAACTGACGGTACAAATCATGCTCGTGGCAACAGTAGCACCGTTGTTATGGTATGTGTGTATGCGCAGAAGTCTTATCTCGGTCGCTTCCTTCGCATCTGGTACAACAGTATGGCATTTGGGGCGAAGGAGTAGGAGGACTTTGGCTGGTCTTTAAGCTTATTTTAATATGGTTCTCTTCTTTCTTGGTTCTTTATAGGCCTCGAAGAAACTCGCAGCAAAAGAATAGGATTCAGATTGTGAAGGGCAGCTTAAAATAAAACCCTTTATTTCACCCACTTTCAAACCAAATGAAATTCACTGTTTAAATGACAGCACAATTGAAGATTTCATTCATACTCAATTGCTGACTATAGTGCTTAGTTATGTGAACAATAAGAAAGATTCATTTCATATAACCAGATTTTGAGACTTTCAATTTAATTGTAATAAGAGTGCTGGCCACCCAGAATTGCAAAAGTGTATGAGGAAAGATATACTTGGTCTTCTGATCGTCTCAAAACCTACTTATTCTGAATATGAGTAGTGTGGTCAATTGTCGTGGCGAAATACCTGCTTGCCTCATCGGTAATCCCACAATCTGGTTTGTCTTGCACCTGGTGCTTGTGGAGGTGCGTAGGGGTGGCACAAGTCAAGTTTAAGTCCCGTTGAGAATGCAGATGAGATTCCGAGGCTAAATAATATAATTGTGGCAAAATGGACACCCATTTCTTCAATACATTCGACCTAAAGTCCTAGTAAAGAGTTACGGATAAAATCGGAACCTACTTACTATGAATATGAGTAGCGTAGTCGAGTATCATGGTAAAAAGTAAGGTTGCCTAATTGCCGTGAAGTCGCTTCTGCTCATTGACCCACTGACACTTGTGGGTGTGTGACGTTGTGTCGACATGTCGGATACGATTCCCGCTGGGCGAGTGCCGATTGAGGAGTGAGACGGGGTGTGAATCGACCTTTTAGAAAGCAGTGCTCAATCACACGTTTATGGGCCAAGTCAACTGTATCCCACCTCTGCCGGAGGGTTCTGTGGGCCGTGCTACATTCTAAGTTTCACGGCCGGACTCTACCGAAGTACAGAAGTGGGCGGACGGAGAGTTTCTCTTCCGAGGTTGGTGATTGTTCATGTTGGTGTTGGTGTTGATGTTGGTGTTGGAGTGTGTTGTCTGTCCGCCAGCCCCGGAATGTCGCATCCGCTGGCTCCGGACACTGTCGCCCAGCGACCGGTACCCGGCCTGGCAACACATGACACTGTTTCGCTGGCGCCAACATTCTGCCCTCCTCCCCCCCCCCTCCATTCTTCGCTCCATCTCATCCGTCTTCAAGTTGTCCGGCGCCAGCTCCACTTTCCCACCGAAGGGTGTGTATATAAACGGGACAATCGGCCTCGAGCACCAGCTCGTCTGCCGTGGACCGAGACAATGCCGCGCCAATCCGGCTCGACGTCACATGAGGCGAGCCCCGCGGTGCGGGGCTCTATGCTGACGGGTCTGAAGCTGCTGAGCGGCACCGTGAAGGACAACCTCGAGGGGAAGATGCAACGCGCTCGGCGCAAATGTGAAGACGTGTGTGCCGCCGGACCAATGCCCTGGCCCATGTCTGGTACCACTTTTCAGATCTTTCAGATGACCCATCTCGAGGCGCCGAACGCCTCCACCCTCGCCTCATTGTCGTCATCGGCATCAGCAGCAGCAGCAGCTGCTGCATCGACGCAGCCTCCTCCGGCCTGCTCGCACAGAGAGACCGGATGAGCATGTACCGGAGAGCGTTTCGTCCAGTTTCAACTCGTCTAAGCTGTCATTTTAGGCGTACTTTCGGCCTACTTTTTACCGACTATGACTACTGCTTCAAGCGCCTCTTATTCATACTACTTATAAACAGCACAGTAGTAGACGATATGAAGTGAACGAGGCAAAATATAAACGCAAGTCGTCGCCTCCCATGCATTAATGCATAACTGTACAAAAATTCGGAAAGTACATTTCTAAAGCAAAATATATGCTTTATGGATCATTTTCCAGAGCAGTTGTAGAATCAAGCACTTTTAGCCGACTGAGAATGAGTTAATGTTGTCGAGAGTCAAGGCGCCCCGATCAGTTTGAGGCATCCCCGGTGCGATTGTTCATGGCCGGCGGATCGCCAGCAGCTTCGAAGTCTGTACACTTTGGGATGAATTGTTTTCAGTTACTTTTTTTAGCCACAGGACCTTGGACTAAATTAAGGGGTACTAAGGCACTTTGGGCAATGTTATGCCCACCCGGACGAGTAGAATTCTTATTTCAGAGGAATACGTTCCTGGGATTTGCTGTTTAAAATCAACAGATACTAAACTGCATTTAGTAGATGCAAATTTTTTAGATTCAAGTATAAAATTTTCTCCAGACGACACCCTTTGCTGTAAATGGTTAAATTCGCGCTTTCCCCATTCGACGTGGCCGCCGGAGAGATTGACGAAAATGATAAAAACCACAACGTTTTTGTCCGTTTCCTTATGCTCATACTGAATTCCGGTCGGGTTAAGATGTGTTAAGGTGCAAAATAAGTAAAAAATACGAATTCATTTCCTCAATCAGTAGGTTAGTATTAAAAAAGTAATGATAGATTCTAATACTACTTACCGCAAAAATAAGTAGTTTCGACGATTTAAATTTCAAAACGCATCTGTCCTGGCACCATTGACTGTGTGTTTTTTAGCGGTATTGTAGTCAGGTAGCAGATGAGAGAATGAGACGTGTTCGAGACAGTAATCTAGTTCAAAGAAATGAGAAATCTTAAATCGTAAATTTGCTTACTTTTATAAAGCATTACTGAATTTTTGCAGGTCATCGTAAAAGAAGAGCAACTCGAATCCCCTCACTTCATTTAATGTGAGGAAAAGGCGAAAATTTGAGCTTCCCAGAAAATGAATAAAAGTAAATTATTTTTGATGACTAGCTTCAGCTAAAATTTTTTGAAGTGACTTTATTCAAGTGTGTAAAGTGAAAATTTAGATAAGTTACTCCTGCCAAATGACGAAGACTGAATCCCGTTATCATGCGATTGTCTGCTGTTTACTATGACTTTCAAGTTGACTGAATCCACGAGACATCTTCTTTCGAAATGCGTGAAAATATGTTGAGCTTTCCTTGCTCATCCCAACTGACAGACATAACCAGAGCTGGATAAGGTTCTTTCAAAT